GCCTTCAGGCAGGTGTTGCTAGTCTGGCATCAGTAGCACAGGCTGGTGGTAGACATATTGGTGGCTGCCACTGCTTTTGCCAAATAAAGAAAGCAGCATCCTAGAGAACCAGCAGTATTCTAGCACTGCAAGAGGCCATGCGGGCTAGACTACTGCAGCACCTCTGGAACCAGCACTCAGGGATTCCGGAGAAGCCAGATATAAATCTACAAACTGAAAGTTGCTGGTGGCCTCTCTGTAAGCTTGGTGGCTGTGCACTAGAGTACAACAGATTTTGTTTTATACATTCATAGGCTGTGAATGTCAATGGCTGAGCCAGCATTTATTGCCCATCTATAGTTGCCCTTGAGAAAGTTGTGGTGAGCTGCCTTAAACCGCAGCAGTGCACATATTATAGGTACACCGACAATGCCGTCAGTTCAAGAATTCCAGGATTTTGACCCAGCAACAGTGAAGGAATGGTGATGTGTTTTTAAATCAGGATGGTGATTGGCTTGAAGGACAACATGCAGGAAGTGCAGTTGCCATATATCTGCGGCCCTTGTCCTTCTAGATAGTAGTAATCATGGGTTTGGAAGGTGCTGCCTTAAGAGCTTTGGTGAATTTCTGCAGCATATCTTGTCAATGGTACACACTGCCACTAAAGAGTGCCAGTGGTAAAGGGGAGGAATGTTTGTGAATGTGATACCACTTAAGCGTGCTGCTTTGTCCTGGTTGCAGAGAAGTTCTTCAGTCCGGGTTCACCGAACTGAGTAGTGAACTGCTAGGCCCCTTAATGAGTTCCTTAATAGCCTGATGAACTCATTCATTGGTGCCAACTGCCTTTCTTGCTTCATCCCTAAGGACAGCCCTTTGAAAATACAAACTGTTCCAGAGGCATCAGAATTCTGGGATGGCCTTAAGGATTGCAATTGCAAAGTCTCATCTGCACCCAGTTCCAGCCAATGTCTCTTTAAAACTCCTGTCTACTCTCCATGTTATACAAATAACATCAAGGATGACGCTAGAACTGACAGATTATCCTTTTAAGGAAGGGTTGCACAAGATCAGGCTATTATCTCTGAAAAGGGGAAACTGATGGGTGACTGGTAGATGTACGAAAAATGATGAAAGATTAAACATGTTTACATGGTGGGGAGAGACAAAAACTATATGAAAACATGAACATATATATATTCATAGATATTGTAAATTAATGTGGTGAGGTGAGAGTGACAGTCCTTGACAGCAAGGCTGCATTCGACCAAACATGGCATCAAGGACCCCCAGCAAAATTGGAATCACTGGGTATCAGGGGGCAAACTTTCCAGTAGTTGGAGTCATACCTGGCACATAGAAAGATAGTCATGGTTGTTGGAGGTCAGTTATCTCAGCTGCAAGACATCTCTGCAGGAGTTCCTCAGGGTAGTGTCCTAGACCTACCGTCTTCAGCTGCTTCATCAATGACCTTCCCTCCATCATAAGGTTAGAAGTGGGGATGTTCACCGATGATTGCATAATGTTCAGCACCATTTGCAACTCCTCAGATACTGACGCAGTCCATGTTCAAATGTAGCAAGCTCTGGACAATATACAGGCTTGGGCTGACAAGTGACAAGTAGCATTCGTGCCACGCAAATGCAAGACTATGACCATTGCCAATAAGAAACAATCTAACGATTGCCCCTTTACATTGAATGGTGTTACCATCACTGAATCCCTCACTATCAACATCCTGGAGGTTACCATTGACCAGAAACTTAACTGGACTCACCACATTAGCATAGTAGCTACAAGAGCAGGTAAGAGAGCAGGAATATTGAGGAGAGTAACTCACCTCCTGCTGACTCCTCAAAGTCTGTACATATCTCCAAGGCACAAGTCACGACTGTGGTGGAACACTCCCCACTTGCCTGGGTGACTGTGGCCCCAACAACACTCAAAAAGCTTTACACTATCCAAGACAAAGCAGACCGTTTTATTGGCATCACACCCACAAGCATTCACTCACTCCTCCACCGATGCTCAGTAGCAGCAGTGTGTACTATCTACAAGATGCACTGCAGAAATTCACCAAAGATCCTCAGACAGCACCTTCCAAACCCATGGCCATTCCGTCAAGAAGGACAAAGGCAGCAGATGCATTGGAACACCACCACCTTCAAGTTCCCCTCCAAGCCACTTACCATCCTGAGTTGAAAATATATTGCCATTCCTTCACAGTTGCTGGGTCAAAATCCTGGAATTCCCTCCCTGATAGCATTATGGGTTGACCTACAGCAAGTGGACTGCAGCAGTTCAAGAAGGCAACTCCTTACCACCTTCTCAACTGCAACTAGGGACAGGCAGTAAATGCTGGCCCAGCCAGCAAAACCTACATCCCACAAATGAACAAACAAAACTTTCCAAATACAAGATAATCAGACATAAATCCAAAATACAATTCCACAGAGATTTCTTTACCCTGAGAGTGTTAACAACATGAAACTCATTGGCACGTGAAATGTTTGACAGGAATTATGTCGGTACATTTAGGGGGAATCCGCACAGGTATTTGAGGGAGGAAGGATTAGAAGGACATGATGTCAGGGTCAGGTGGAGAAGGAGGGGAGGAGGCTTTCTGGAGCATAACGAACCAGTTGGGCTGAATTCACTGTTTCTGTACAGTGTATTCTGTGTAATTTCCTTCTCCCTTAAATGTTTTCTCCATTGCATATAGAAATACTTGAGGGATGCATCATTGTTCCCGTAACCCACTGATTCCCTCACTGCCACATGAAGCCTGATAGCAGTCTCTGGACCATTTAGCAAAACGCTCACCAGGATTTGAATGCTTCATCCATTGACAAGAAACTTATAAACAAAGAGTTTGTAAGGAAGACAATGCCAATGGCACAGAAATCCAGCACAGTCTTGATCTAGATTTCTGTGGTATTAACTGAAGGCTTGGCAGATTTAGAATTGACAGAACTGGAAAACATAACAAGGCAGCAATCACTTCTGCACTACAGATACAGTTATAAAGAGAATAAGTAGTAATAATGAATATGGAACTGAACTGAACATTTGGCAAGTGAACTAGTGGTGTAAACAGAATTGTCAGCACAGCTGGCACTGAAGCTACTGTTACAGCGCAGGATTTTCTGTATACAAGTAAAAATGCAAGGATTATGCTGAGAAAATGTAAACATGACTTATGGAAAGTTTAAGTGCATCATGCTGCAAAATGATAATGTACTTTTTTTTTACAAACTCCATTATAATGTAGTAAATCCATTGTCTGGCATCATGAAGAAAGAAATAACTTGCATTGACACAGCATCTTTCCTATTACTGAGATATCTCAAAGCACTTCACAGTTGAAGGTTTGTTTTGTTAAATATAGGGCAATTTGCGCACAGCAAGGCCAACAAATGGCTGAAAAGCCAGTTTAATCTGTTTCAGGTATAGTGACTAAGCTATAAATGCTAGTCAGGACTTTGCCCCAGTTCTAAATACACTGTCTGGCGGTTTCTTAATTTTAATATCTCATCCAAGAACCAGCTCCTGATGCACAATGAAAAGCAGATGGCAGCCATGATTGGATTTGTAATTGCCTTAAAGATTTGAGAAGGCAAAGAGCCAGCAGTTTCTTTGTGTGTACAAACGGCTAAAAATTATGTGCTATCATGAAATGGTTTTTAAATTTGCTTCATTTTCAACACTTTAATTCAGCTGTAAAGTAACGTGGTTCCTCGTAAGTCATTGCAGATGAATCAATTGCTGGTTTCCCATACACACCTCCCCAGCTTTGAAGACTGACATGCCATCTATGCTTGCATACAACCTCACCCTCATGGGCATTTGAAAACCAAGCTTCAGGAATATGATGTTCATATACTGGGGCAGCATGGTGGTTCAGTAGGGGTCGCACAGTGGTTTGCACTGCCACCTCACAGCAACAGGGACCCATGTTCAATTCCAGACTCAGATGACTGTGTGGAGTTTGCACATTCTCCCAGTGTCTGCATGGGTTTCCTCTGAAAGCTCTGCTTTCCTCCCAAAGTCCAAAAATGTGCAGGTTGGGTGGATTGGCCATGCTAAACTGCCCATGGTGTCCAAGGATGCATAGGTTAGGTGGATTAGCCATGGGAAATGCGGTGTTACAGGGATAGGATAGGGTAGGAAATGCTCTTCAGAGAGTCGGTGTGGACTTGTTGGGCCGAATGGCCTGTTTCCACACTGTAGAGATTCTGAAATATCCATTTGTGTCATTCCTCCATAATCTGTACAGAATTTACAGCAGAAAATAGAGAAAAATCCTTGAGTGGTGTATCTCAAAACATTTGATATCTAATTCCAGTCTCTCTTGATGTGCACAGTTATAATGTTGTCATTTTACCCTGCTACGTACTAGATGCTAGTTTAGCTTAAATATGAATTTATCACTTAATGACCTTGATGGTCTCCATGATGATATGTCAAAGGAGTTTCCATGGCAAAACCATAACCAAACAGAATCTACTTGCCTGGTCTGAGAATTAAGATTGATAGGCATCTCCATGCCTAACTAACTAATTAATTAACAGCTGCTTTCATGCTGTATAAAATGGTGTCCCTATGTTCAAGTTTGTTTTGATGAGTGCAATGCAGAAAAGCTTCAACTTCTTGTGTATTTTTAGCAATGTTTAAGCTCTGTACTACCAAGCAATTATGAAAATATAAATAAGTGTTGCAACCCACCCAGATTGACCATGAATTAATAATTGACAGCCATGTAACGATTGAAGAGAAAACCCAATAAATATACTGCGTAATGCAGTCCAGGTGAAGATGCAATGTAGTGAATCTATACTCTGGACTAAGCAACTTCTGGAGTATAGACATCATGGACACTCTAGCTATCATCATTCACTTATGAAACAGACAACAAGTCATTATTAAAATGGCTCAGAGTTGTTAAACACGATCACAACTTGATACAGTTAGATCGAAAAGCTGTTGTCTCTTGTAAAGTTCTGCTTTGTGTTTTTGCCATTCAGGAACCTTCGCTAAAGACGATCGAGATACTATGTACACAATGAAGGACATGTTGATTTTAATTCAAGGTATACTGCTGATCCTATGTCTCACGTTGCCAGGAATGTTATTTCTTAAAGTAAGTAAGCAGCAATTCATCCTCACAACTACTTAATATATTCTCCTGCAAATGTTGTAGACTGTTTGGGGTCACTGAGATTTTTGTCTTTCTTACTTGGGTGTTAAGGATTTGCTGCACAGTACGTAGGAAAGGATAGTCTTTTATGAAGGATCATCTAGAAAATCTTGCTTAATTTTCATAACAACAAACTGAAGTCTATTGAGTCTGCCATTCAATTCATGCTTGCTGTACATCTTAACTTCATCTACCAATGATGGTTTGAAACCATTGATAGCTTTCCCCATCAAAAGTCTAGCCATCTTAATTTTAACATCTTCAATTAATTCCCAATTTCAGTGCTTTTTGGGGAGACCATTCCAGATTTCCCTCATGTAAAGAAGCGTTTACTTAGCTCTGAAAACTCAAGCTCTAATTTTAACATCATTCCCTTGTTCTGGACCCTCCCATCAGAGAACATAGATTCTCTCTACCTATACGGTACAATTCAATACAGCACAGGAACAGGCCCTTCAACCCATCAACCCCATGTGAATTCTAATCCTTATTTAATAAAAGCAACTAGTGAGACCCAGTAAGGAAAACCAAGAGCTCATTGATGTTTTGTTTCTAGGCCATTCTTAACATTCAGGTATTGAACATGATAATTGACCTGCTCAGTGCAACATGAATAGATAATGTCTTAGTAATAAACAAAAGCAAAATACTACAGATGCTGGAAATCTGAAATAAAAACAGAAATTGCCAGAGAAACTCAAAAAGTGTGGCAGCATCTTCAACGAGAGAAATAGTTAACATTTTGAGTCCAATATGACTTCTTCAGATAACCACTTCTGAATTTCCTTTATCCTCCTTTTATCTGAAGAAGTCATGTCAGACTCTAAACATTGACTCTGTTTCTCTTTCTATAGATTATATCTTGTTTTTATAAACACATATTTTTGGGTTGAATAAAGCTCCCTTACATGATAGGACAGAATGAGTTATAGAGAATCAGTAACATGCTTTACAGCCCTCTCAATGTGAAATAGTCATTATTAGAAATGTAATTTTTTTCATTCATTTATGGGACATGGACATCACTGCTGGTCCAGCATTTCCTTACATATCTCTAGTTGCCCTTGAAAAGATAGTGGTGAGCTGCCTTCTTAAATTGCTGCAGTCCACAAAATAGGCTGTAGACTTGCTTTTACACTGTTGCAAGTCAAGGTCTACCCCTTTGACTGAAAGACCAAGACATGAAGTGTTCCCTGACTGAAATTTGATTTAAGCACCTAAAACAAATTTGATTTTTTTTATGCTCCTTTTTTCCCTGTTTTCTCCCATTCCCCTCTCCTGAATGTATTAGTTCCTTGCTGAGATGTGATTGGTTGTTAGACTATTGCTTTGTCCAGTCCAATACACAGGAGTGCATTTTGAGCAGAACATTCCTGGAAAGCATCAGGTATAATAACTGGCTGATTTATGTCTCCCTAACCTATGAATATTCAGGCAAGCTCCATATTGTAAATGTAATCAGCTATTTATTTTCTTAACCTTCAGATTCTGAAATCACCTGATTCAGAAAGGATTTATTTCCATTCCCCCACTAGCCTATACTGAGCAAATAAGTGCTCTGTCATTGTGCCAAACAACTTAAAGGACTACATTAGCCAAATTAAGTAGTAGGGTGTCAAAACTAGCCTCCATCCCTTGATAGCAGTAAGGAGAAGAGGGAGCCAGGGCAATTGCTCATTTGGAACTTGACTAACATCATCCAAATTAAACTTGAAGCTCTTGCCAGCAGGAGGAAGAGACTCTCATTCTTGTTATTTCTAGAGTAGTTTAACCTCATTGATGGAATCATTTGTCAATGCATAGTCCCAAAGGAGCTGATATACTTTCTTTTAAGATATGGATATTATGGAGGTGATTTATTTTTAAGTCAGCATGTGGAGTAGGGAGAGTATTGAATTAAGGGCGGGCCATTTAAGACTGAGAGAATTGTGAATCTTGGGGATGTCAATGCTTAATGATTGAGCATATTCAATACTGAAATCAATAGATTTCTGAACACTAATGACATCAAAGGATACAGATAATGCAGGATAGTTACATCAAGCTGAATATCAGCCATGATCTAAATGAATGATGAAGCATTGGGCTGAATGGTTTACTTGTGTTACTATGTCTCTGTGACTGTTACCTGAAGCCTGGTGCTAATGCCCAACATGTGCACCTATATTTTAATATTGGAGGACATTTACTTCGTGATGTTTCCCATACCATACTGTCATTATTAGTTAGCAGGAAATGACAAAGTATAATTTGACATGTTTGTCGATGTATAGCATCTCCATTGCAGCTGATATTTCAACACAACGTGAAACAAAATGTTCTTATAACTAATGATTTCAACATTTAAATGCTATTTAATTGCTCCATATAGTTTATTTAAGCAGTGTTTGCCAATCAAGTTCAGCTAATGGGCATTTCATTGCAGTGTGAATGCCAATATTTCTTATGGGCAAGGTTTAAAACAAATCAGTAAATGATAAAGAAAGAGGAGTTGCAAGTATAATCAATTTTATTTTTCACAGAACAATCGAACAAAGAAGACTGAAGAAATAGAGACATACCATATGTATGAGGTATGAAATAAATAAAGGGGAAAATTTTATTACTAACATTACACCAGCAGAAATGTAGACTTGATGTGTAAGATATTTGTATTGTTACAGATATTTTTAATTATCTTGATCCAGTTATGCCAGTTTCACAAAGTATCTGTGATGTGAAATTTGGTCTGGCTCGATCAGAATCAGCCAATAGAAATTGATGACTTGCCACAAATTGTGGAGATTGCAACATCATGTGGTTACATGCACAAATTTTGGATGAAGTGCCTTGCGCACTTACAATGCAGGTATATGTACTTGAGAGGTCTTAAACACCCACAATCATTCTGTAACTAAAGAAATAATGCACTCACATTCTGCTTCTCATCTTATTTTAGCAGCATAAGCACAACCAGGCACACATACACAAAAGCAAAATGCTGCAGACACTGGAAAACCGACACAAACGTAGAAACTGTTGGATATACTCAATAGGATTGGCAGCATCTGTGGAGAGAGGGTTAATAATTTCAGGTTATGATCTTTTCACCAGGTGAAATACACATACATGTCCCATGTGAATGAGTATAGAGGTTACATGCTTAGTAGTAGTATGAATAATTCAGGTTTTAAAATTTATTGATGAGCAATGAAATTTGGCACATTGGATTCCCAATCTGTGTTTGTATAGGCTATTTAAACATTCAGATGTTCTAAACATGTCACAGCAATGTTAGAGCACTGAATTTTTTAATTTTACCCTGAGTTTCAGGGCACAAGAGAATAAATACAAGATCAGCAACTCACAAAGTCCAGAAACATTACACTACACAACCCACTCTCTTAATCAGCATTAAAAGTGATATTAATATATGTTCCACCAAATTGCAAACTGAATTGTTTCTGATGCCAAATATTTATCAAGCAAAAGTTATTGTTGCTTTGGCTTTGCAAAGATTAGCATGTTTTATTCTGTTCCTGAATGGCTATGCTTTTGCTAATCAGAATATTGCACAATGAGATGTCTTAGCATTTTGAAAAATAGAGCCATAGAGATCTACAGCACAGAAAAAGCCTCTTCGGCTCAACACATCTGTGGTCAAAAACAACCACCTGACTATTCTAATCTCATTTTCCAGCACTTGGCCCTTAGCCTTGTATGTCATGGCACTGCAAGCATACATCTAAGTACTTCTTAAATGTTAGGATGGTTTCTGCCTCCACCACCCTTACTGGCAATGAGTTAGAGATTGTCAGCACCCTCTGGGTGAAAAGGGTCTTCCTCATATCTCTGCTAAACCTTCAGTCCCTTACCTTAAAACTATGCGTCATTGTCATTGATTCTTCCATCAAGGAGAAAGGTTTCTTCCTGTCCAACCCATCTACACTCATAATTTTATACATCTCAAACATGTTCCTTCTTAGTCTCGTCTGGTCTAAGGAAAACAACCTCAGACTGTCCAAACTCTCTTCGTAATCGGTAACGTTAAACATTACATTGCTCACATTCATGTTTTCTTGACATCAAAATAGATATATATCTACGTGTATGTACAAACATTTGGAATTTAGCACATGTGTCACAAAGTATCAGCCACACAGGGGAAGAAATTCAGGACCACTTGTTAATTTCCCATTTGATTGACTTCACTGAAACCGAGTGGAATGTGTAACTGCCAGCCAATGCAATACCACCTCAATGTGAATTTCTACCCTGCAACATCTGTGTTACACTTGTTACTGATTGCTTTAAATATTGTGCAACAAATCTCAAACAAACAAAAGGATTAACGAACACACCAATAGTATCAAAATGATCATTTCAAGTTTTTGTTTTTCTCGCTATGATAATCCGAACTCTTCTAAGTTGAAGAACTACAGTTGTACGTGATGGTTTTTGTCTGGTTTCGAAATGGGCACTTTTTGGGTGAGGAGGTGAAGATAATCACCCCACCACAGAGACACTGTTTGCTGGGGATGAATGTACTGTTTTAAATAATGCAATAAAACAAACTAACTAAATAAATGAGCAACAACGCTTTGAGGGATGTTTCCGACAATGGAAAATTACAACATGTTCAGATGGACAAGTGTAAATGAATTGTGCACATGAGCAGCCTATACAGGAAATCCCTCTGTGCAAAATGGAATTGCCCAGATGGAATTTCTGCCGAAAAATTCAAACTGTGGGGCTGAGGTTCCTGAGGAATGTTTTGAAACCTGGCGTCAATGTGAAAGTCTGAACGTGGGGCCGGATCAGACAAAAATCCATCACATGCTTGAGCTGTCATCATACCGTGAGTATCATTAGGGCATGTGTGCCACGTTCTTCAGACTCTGGTTGGCTTTGATCATAAGCAGGACATCTGAAGATCTGTTCCATCTTAGTTCTTCTGGCATCAACCTCCAATTTCTCCACCATCCAGCATGTCCATATCTCTGGTCACCCGACCAACCTGACCACCCACCTCACCTGCTAGGTGTACAAACCTGTATTGGTGAATGTGTAGATTCAGAAGCAGTGGCTCTCTGATGATGGCAGCTATTCCTGCTGAAAAGAGCTCCAGCATGAGGCAACCATGTTCTGTACTTGACCAGCTCCTGGTAAAAGACAGGCAATTCCTCTAAGGAGTCAGCTATCCCATGTCCATAACAGAAGCTGCCTGTTGCAATTGAGGCTGTGTACCTGGCAGAAAAAATATATCACCTGTGCACACCATCTAGGAAGGGGCTTGATGTAAAGATATCCATCCAAAGGCAGAAAACATTCCCGTGGATGGGAAGGCACACCAGTGCCTGACCAGCCTCCGTAAACAGGAAACTCAGTCCCTCAACAGTGACTCAGGATTGTTTTGTATCAGAAGTTTTATGGGCATCTTCTGGACCGGAAGTCTAGAATATTTCCTGTCTAGAATATAATCCTGTCCCCAGACTAGATTTATAAGCAACTGCCAATCAACTGACTTGTTCCTTTTCATAATACCAGTTAGTGTCCAATTGTCTTCCTGTAGTACTCATATAGTAGAATGAGATGTTATGGTTTTAAATAGCTAGGTCACATTAAACACAGTCAATTCAATACAGTAATCCATTATGTTGATGTTATAACACACAAAATCTTATATCCTTCAACTTACTACGAATATCAGCAAACATCTTGTTTACGATTTGTACTGTGCTTTTGAATTTTAAGCTTTTCAACTGTTTCAGATTTTTAATAAGCTTGCAGATATTATGTCATAATTGTTAATGCTGTACTGCAAGTTACATCACAGAAGATTATGGCTAGCACTGGCAGGTACATGAACTTTTAAATATAAGAGCTGATTTCCTCGTGGGGATTAACGTTCATAATGGTGCTTCAACCAGAGGTCTGTAGTGCTCATTTTCTGTCCATTCAAATGAACAAAGGGAAAATTTAACAGCAATAGACCAATCCATTGTGAGCTCCACTTTTCCAGTGAGAGCATCCAACTGGAGAATCATGACTAGAGTTGACATCAAAAGTGGTAGCACAAAAAAATTCAAGCCTGCCTGTCACAATATGTAACATCAGGGTAGGATTTCTGTTTGATACATTTCTTAATTATATTGTGTGTTTGTACTAAGTTCTTCCTTGCATCAAAGTTGTATAGATGACAATATAGTATAAGCAGACTGAGCTCTCTTATCCAACAGAGCTGATCTTAATTTCTCTCTGATCATCCAAAGCTAATTGATGTTACTGAGTTGTAATTACTCATACTCATCTTAAGTCTTGTAAATGATTTATGAGCTATTTAACTTAGTACTTTAATGGAACAATCTTTCATATATTTAAGAGAAACAGGCAACAAAATCTTTTTGTGTTGAATTATGGACAGCGTGGTGGTTTCGATGAGGCATAGCAAATGGGACTAGATAAACTTATTGATATTGCCGTAGCCCTTTAACATCACAAGAAACCCTTTAACGTTTTCTCTGGGGACATAGGTTAGACTTAACAGTCTAAGTTGAGGTGTTTATGTGGGTGTATTGGAAGTTGCTTACATTTCTTTTAAAACAAAATCTATTTTGTTTCATTTTAGGGTTTGGAAGTTATGCAGACAGCAATGTATGAAGATATTGGCAATATCAGACCAACAGATGCTAAATGGACAGTTGGCGAGCAACCTAAGGAATAAATTCCACAGTTATCTCATTGCTCATTTGCATTACAAACCCATAACAATGTTCCCATGAAGAATATTTTCAAAAAAATCCTATTACTGCTATAAGAATCAACTTGAAGCAAATGGTCAAGGTGGCTTACAGAAGTGATTTTTGGTTCCCAGTTGACACTTCAGTCAAGTCTAAATGTATGAGGCAGCAACATTAAAAGCCCTAACTTTTGCAGATCACCCATTGCCTATCCACAAGCATGTATAAACTGTTTTGTTTGCCTTTGTACTTTAACATTGGGAAGATTTAATTGAGTCTTAATTATGTGAAGAGGCTACTAAATGTTGGAGATATCTATTGCTGATTTGTAGGGAAATTGTCTGCACAATTTAATCGAGCGATTGATATATTTCATCAATTTAGAGCTGTTTACTAACCACATTACATGTAGCATAATGGATGGTCAGGAAAATTATTGATATGTGCACAGTTATTTGTAATTGGTGCGTATACCATCCAAAATAATGAAGGGTACAACACCAGTTAAAGGTTTTATCCTTTTGATAGCTCTTATTTTGTCAGCTGAGTGTAAAGTCATCTATTACATCAAGATGAGATAATGTGCATAATGGAGGAGACTACAGGTATTGGTAATAAGGGAAAATATCTTTCTTTTTCCAGAGATCAAAAATTAGGGAAAATTAACAATTAACCTGATATAATTTGTACAAATTTTCACCTGATGTGAGGCACGTTTATAAGGACTTTTTAAAGGGTTGATGTGATTCCATAGACAATATGGGACACTGAGTGGTTTGTCAAAGTCATCTTAAGCTGAAGACATTACTGAAAAAACACACTCCAACCACACAGCAATCTGTGCTTTTCTGTAAATTAAACAGCATTACAGGCTATACAGAGTTGTTTCTTTTCTGGTACTTTGTTGACTTCTAATTATTTTTCTATCACGTGGTCACAGATGTCAGTTTTTAGTGACAAAATCAAATGATTCATCCAATAATGATATGGTACGAACTGATTTTCATCAATGATGCTGGGATATGTTTTAAGGAAATTTGACCATGTATATATTGTACAAATAATTGATTGAGAATCTTGCTATTATTACTAACAATGTGCTAATTAAAAATATATGTATGCTTGAAATTAACAACATCTGTGTTCACCTCCATCCTTTAGAATTCAAGGGAAAAATGTAAATTCAGGGAGTTTGTTGAATTGTTCTGTACTTAGAATCTGTGATAACTTACCTGCTTTTAAGTTCTCTTCATCAAAGGGTATCTGTATGTAGCCTAATTATAAATGATTGAAAACCATTTCATGCTTTACTGTTTTTTCATTCTTATGAGCACTCAATAGGTGTGGACAAGAACATGAGGCTTATCAAGCCCACTCATTGCAGGCAGCAAGACAAATTCACACAGGGTTTACCCTTCTCTCACAATGCTTTAGAGATGACCTAGTGCATATTCCTTCTTACATTGTAGTTTACAAAATAATTAAAGGAAAGAAGCGTGATCCCACAAGCCAATCCTGTCTCAGAGATCTTATACACTCCAAACACTTCACACTAAAACATATAATTGCCTATTAAATACTAGATTATTTGTTTGAATTATTATTTTTAATAATTTGATGCATGAATCTATTAGTTGTGGATGAAAATAATGTTCTACTTATTATCCCTAAGTTCCTTCTTTGTTTCCTCTGGAATTTGAGTCCTTTATCACCGTAAACTATTTATTTGAATTTAATTTGCCAACAATTTTTAAACCTGCTGTTAGTTTGATGCTGTACATACCTCATCTTTTCAATAGATAAAAAGGATTTAAATAGCTAGAAAATTCCACCGTTTCTATTAAATAGAATTCCTTTATGTTTAATGTTTAAACGTTGCTTTCTAAGTTGAAGCATAGTTTTGCACCGTCAGACGGGGGTGGGGGGGGAGAAAAAGCAAATTAATGCAAATATTTTTTGCTTCCTATGAGGTAATTGTTAACATTTATCACCAAGTGATGATGTCACACTGCTGGCTGCTGCTTGCTAAAACGCACAGGGACAAAATAAAAACCAATGTAGGATTTTTTTTTACATTGGAAATTTTATCAAAACAGGTTTTCACAAGCAACTTAGCAGAAACAGAGGTTTTCTCTGTATTAATGGCTATCCTGTGAACTAGTGCAAGTGAAATAGTATAAAAATGCACCTAACTTCGCTGCCTTCAATGTAATTTCAGCCAGTAGGAGGCAGTGTTTCATCATGATCTGGTAGCATACACTCCAATGGCTTCTTTTAGTAAGTGCAAAACAATTGGCTTTCTTTGCATTATGATTTATCTATGTGTAGAGATATAGTGAAAGTAAACTGAAGTAGAAATTAATTATTCGTGTTAGTTATGTCCATTAAGTGGAAATCTGATAGGGATTGGAGTAATCCTTTTAAAGTGAAAATACTTTCTTATTGGAAATCTTTGCTAGATAACTAAAGCAGTTTCTTAAAAAAAGTAACCTTGCTGTTTATCCATTTTTGCAATCAACACAATGACGAATTGCCAAGGAATATCTGATCGACTTATTTTGGTTTACCAAATAACTTGAGTGTTTCAACAGGAACTTTAAAATTCAGTGGATTTCTCCTGTTATTGCACTGCTATCCTAGATTTTAAATAAATGGATATGCTGGCAAGAATGTGTAACCTGCATTTCTGTAACCTGCTATCAGATACAACCCGTGATGGGATGAGAGTATAAATTTTCCATTGACATAGTTTTTAATGATAACTTGAAGCTTGTAATTGATTTCCATTTGTATTGCTGCACAATTTTATGACCCCAGCTGATGGTAATACTGAAGAAGTCAGATCCGAAAGTGAAAGCTGGCTTGATTGACCATAATTTTTTTATTTTTGTTTCTGTTTACCATGGCGGTCAGTCACTGCACATATTTGCAGGAGGCAAGCAATTTATTTTTAACAAAAGAATATAAATTTTAAAAACAACAGGGATAAAATGTGGACAATATCACATTATACAGGAACTATTCAAATTATTAAAACTGTACAGTCTCTCAAACCTCATTGGAGATTCACCCTGTCTCCATGTTAAAGCTTCTTACTCAGCTGGAACAGCTTAAATCTGTTTCTGTTTGGCAAATTTCTGCTTTGCATTCATTCAATGTTATTTTGTTTAGTTATTGTATCTCCTTGAAACCCTTAAAATAAACAGCTAAGCTAGCTCACATATTAGTTAACATGGATTCCTAAAACTTATGTCTTCAACAGTCTTGTAGAATATTTTCTCTCTGACACCTTCACAGCCTTCTGCTTCTGGAACATACTTTCCAGTAACTTTATACATTTTTAAGGGCTTCAGTCCAGCCAAAATTGCTTGAACACAGCTACATTCCCTCTGCTATTATGAAGCACTGCTCTCTGAATGAATCTGCTTGTGGCCCTGCTCTTTCTCTCTGTTTCTCTGGGTCATAAAACTCAATTGGCAAACACCCTAGCAATATTTCCCCTGGTGGCTTGCTGATTATTTAGCTAAAATCCTATCCATTCTGGGAAATGTGGCTTTGAACTCTGGAATCAAAATGACTTTCTGACATTAAAAAACAAGTCATTTTCCCTCTCCTTTGGATCCCAATTTCCCAAATAACAAAAAAGTCTAAATCTTAAATTATACCACCCCAGAAAAATTGCATATCTATCTTTAAAAATATTTTAACTTCCTGTTGTAATTTCCTCCTATCACCATTACTATTTTACTAACATATTTCTTTTGGACAGTATAAATATATTTATATTAAATGGGGAAGGACTTTCCATATCAATCATATTCTACACAACTCTATTTGATCATGACATTTTTTTTCTTCATAACTTCTTGATAAAATTGTGTCATCTTCTTAATAAATGATTTCCAAATTGTATGCATGTAGCATTAAACTCCAATGAAACAATCCCAGACTTTTGTTATTAAATGTAAATGATAATAATCAATGCAAGTAAGTCTCTGAGGAGTCCAAAATGTTTTGGAGCCAATATCAAACTTTTTTCCAATTGTTGAATACGTTTGTTGGCACAAATTCAGTTATCCTTTAGAAAAGGAACTGACTGGCCATTTGATCCCCATGTTAGCCTCGTAATGAAACTGCGTCAACATTGACATCAGCTAGTTTAAATGGCATGGTTTAATTCTACTGAAACCAGTGTTAATGTCAACTTTCATGCTGTCAAAGGCACATTGACATTCTTCTATCCGTTCTAATTTCTTGACTTTCTTTAAGAAGCTTGTTAGTGGAGCTGAAGATCAGAACAAATTTCCAATAAAATCTACTCATGCGTCTCATTTTTGTCTTAGGCACAGGAAAATCCAAGATAGTCCATATTTTTGCCTCCCTGGATGATATGGCTTTGTAGTTTGATCCAAGTAAGTTACTTCCACTTAAGCAAATCCACTTTTTGCCAAGTTTATGCAAAAATTGGCCCCTTGATTGAATAATGTTCCAAGTTTTTTTGAACGTAATCAAATCATCAGTGTGTACAGGACAGTTCAATAAGCCTTCAATGGCCTTGTTGTTTAATTGCTTTAAACTTGCTCAAGCATTTTTCAATCCAAATTGCATGAGTTTACATTCATAAAGTTCATTTGGGGTCACAGTGGCTGAGAGGTCTTTGTACAAATGAATGGAATTTGCTGAATTTCCTTAAATCACTTTTTGCAACAATCCATGCTTGTCCAATCCTTCTAATACAGTACTCCAATGTTCCTGTGTTGATGTTGCAATAATCAATGCAATATCATTGTGATCCATATGGTTTCAACATTGTCACAAAATGTGAATTCCAGATATTATGACTTGGTTGAATAATGTAATTTTCTATCATGAGCTTGCTTTCTGCTCTCACTTCAGCAAAACTCTCTGGGATGAGTCTGTAAGGATGTTTCTTTATGGTAATGAAATTCTACATTAACTTCATGTAGGCAAAGATATTTTCCCCTATTTATTTATGCAATGGATTCCTAAGTCTGTATTAGCTTCTTAAGTCACCTCAAAATTTTTCTGGGAGAGAGTATAATATTTCATCACTTTCATATTATTCAATCTGATTACTGTGGGGCTAACATTTCATCTCTAATTCATTTCACTGTGTACTTCTTTAGCTACTATAAATATACTTCTCTTCCAATAATCCTTCTGGTCATAATATTGGTTTAACATTAAGATAACACACTTGCTGATTCTTCCTCGTGCCAGGAGCACTCACTGCATGATTCACACTGCTTTAATGGTTGCGTAGAAGCAAGTAAAAATATAGCACCTTATCTCTGGCAGCACAATTTTGAACTTTGGGGCATTTTTTTTACCGTTTTCATTATTAAGCACCTTTTTGGCCAAATCACAAGCTTTGCTTGGTTTCTGTTTGAAACTCAACACTTAGGTTGCAAGTGGTGTCTCTGAACTTTGATTCATAAATTTTTCTTCAATTTGTAGGGTCATCTCATCTCATGCCCACGAGTCAGTTCAAGAGAACAGAATCCTGTGGACTAATTAGAAACATCCCAATTGGTAAACAGCAACAACATAATTCTTTTATCCCAAGCATTTGGATAATCCTGACGTTAGGCTGCAATCAAACTTCATAAAGTTTACACCTTCTGCTTCACATCCAGAATCAAACTTTATAAAGTTTGATTCTGGATGTTAAGCAGAAGGTGTAAACTGCTCTATCACCAACAATTCATTATTTCCTTATATATTTGAAACATAAAATTTGAATCTTGATCTGATTACATTTCTGTGTGTAATTCATGTTTTGAAATAAAATTGGATTAATTTTTCCAATACTATTTTTATATTAAATTTTCCCCAAATGTACTATCTCAGGAAATCTTGTTAGATTATCCATTATTGTTAACAGATATTGATTCCCACATCTGGTTGATTCACAATCTCTTAAAATCATGCTAAATTATTCTTCAAAAACTGGTATCAGAATTAAGGATGTGAGTTTCAATTATGTTGTAGTTTCATTACCTCTTTATCTTTTAAATAATTGGTTAGGGAATCAGGAATTGGTTCTGATTTGATATGAACCAGACCAAACCCCCTCAAAATACACTCAGAAGATTGTCTAGATGCTAACTTTTTCCTATTTTATAGGTAAGTGTAGGTGTGGCATTCCAGATGCAACTCAATTGGTCAAACTACTCGACGTTAAGCAAGGCACACTTTATTTTTACACTGTCGTTAAAATACAGACAAAATAAAAATAAAAAGAATTGGCTTAACTATAACTGTATCAAAATGCTTAACAAACTAAC